TATATATATACAAGGGAATATTATTCAGCCATAAGTAAGAAATGGAATTTTGTCATGTGCAGCAACATGAATGGAGGTCATTATGTTAAGTGAAATAAGCCAGGCACAGAAAGACAAATATCACATGTTCTCACTCACATGTGGGAGCTAAAAAAGTTGATCTCATGGAGGTAGAGAGTAGAATGAGGGTTACCAGAGGCTGAGAAGGAAGATGGGGATGAAGAGAGGTTGGTTAATGGGTACAAACATACAGATGGAATAAGTTCAAGTGTTCAATAGCACAGGAGGGTGACTACAGCTAACAACTTACTGTATACTCCAAAATAGCTAGAAAAAAAGATTGGGAATGTTCCCAACACAGAGAAATGATAAACGTTAAAGGTGATGGATATTCTAATTACCCTGATTTAGTCATTACACATTATATGCATGTATCAAAATACCATATATACCCCATAAATATGTACAATTACGATGTATCAATAACAAATGTAAAAAACTGAATTGGTAAACATAAAACATATAGCATGTACACATGTTTGCACATATACACATACATGTGTACATGTCCTGCTTCTATAAATATAAAAGCTTTTTTTAACAGAGATTTTTCTAAATTTTTCAAGAGTGCAAATACAGATTTTGTACATGACATCATTTTTACAACAAAATGACAAAACAAAATTTCGAACTTTTATTTTCAAAGGGCTCTTTTAACTATGAATGTTTAGAAAAGCATCTACTTTTCCACTTAAAATTTCACCTTTACTTTAAAATGACAGGGTATGTACCACCACCCGAAATCTGGCTTGGTGACAGCCACTGACTTATCACAGAACAGGGCAGCAACCATACCATTTTGTAAACCAATATGGTACATTTATCTTTTTGTAAAAAAAAGAAAAAAGCACAACTCTAGTTATCTTTTATATTCTTCAACTCTTTTACAATGGTGCAAAAAGGTTTTAGCTTCACTCTAATTTGTTATCAAAGATTCTACCTTCCAGATAGTTGACTAGGTAAAGCCATTTATCAGACCACATGAAGTGTAATACTTTGAAATATAGTAAAGACAAATGAATAGTCAATTCACTCTTCTGACTCCTTATGACACACAACGGCACCATCTGATGAAAGGACGAAAGGACTAATCCACGATTGACACATCAGTCCCAATCCCAATCCATATTTTAAGTATTTGTGAAGCCTCACCTCTCCTGCTTTTAAAATGAAAAATAAACAGAAGTACTAACACTTTATTTCCAAACCCCAAAGGATTATCTCACACCCTCTCCCCACCCCGCATTAGGTCCTTTTGAATACAGAAGAATGAATGGAACAAGATTCCTTTCAGAAGCCTAGAGTCTAAGAGCAGGGAGAAAGATAAATAGAGTCAGTCCATTTGGACTATTTCCTTTCTAACAATTCTTTCTCCAGGTTTTTCGCTGTTGTTTTACTATTATCACGCCAAATCAATCACTAAAAAGCCTTACTGTCTCCAGAATTCCTCAGGAATTCCAGAAAAGGTTATCAAGGCTGCAGATCAACTTACAGGGAATTACCACCCATCTCTACAAATCTTTAAACACAAGATTTAATAGTCTTCAACCAGATCAAAGCTTCCCTTACTTTGATGTTTATCTTTTGAGGCATCCATATTGCATCTTGCCATCTTGCCACTCCTTTCCTACTTTTTAATAAATTTCCTTTTCTTAGAAGTTTTTCTCCTGCTCCCCGCCTATCATCACTTCAGCCACCCAGCAATGCCTGCAAAGGCTTTTGTCACAGCCAAGAGCTGCAATCCTTCTGCCAACCTCCAACCTGGCTTGTAACGGGCAAGCATATGTCCAGATTTGCTAACCTGGCACTTCCCTAACCAATCAAATCAGCACTACCCCAAAAGTGCAAAATCTTGCAAGGGTTTCTAAATCTTACATTAACGACAGAAAAATTAACTTCCGTATGCCAAAATACAACCATGAACAAAGTCAAAACAAAGTCAAAAGGCCAACACCAAACTGGAAACAAATATGCCAACAAATTTTGAATAAATATGCCAAAGTAGTTATCACTAGTAGTTAAAAGATAGGAACAAAATTTTAAAAGAATAATTTCTTATTTATAAAATTATCAAGTGTTCTGTTTTTGTTTTTAAGACGACTCTGAGGTCCCACCACACCCACAGCCACCTTCTGAGGGGTTCTTTACAATGAAGTCACCGCACCTGGCTCTTCACAGACCCAGCCTTCTCAGACACATCTCATCTGACCAGAGACACATGACTGACGCAGAAGCAGCCCAGGCCACGCCGTCTGCTTTGGGAGCTGTGCTCAGGAGCACTGCCTCTCAGACGGAACTGCTCCGGCATCCAGATTTCCTCCCGGGCATATGAGGGCAGGACCCACAAGGAAGAGTTAGCACTTTTACTGTCACACCAAGGGCCATTTTCCAGGGGTACCTTTAATACCGTATGAACCCCAAGAATTCTGGTTATGTCCTTTTTTCTATAAAGCTGTCATGATTTACTTTAATCCACAGGGTTCCCCTCCTCAGTGACTGGTCAAATAAGGGGACCAAATGTCCCAGTTAAAACACCCACCTCTCTGTACTCTTTTTCTTTCTTGGGGCCCTGCATACACTTTTCTTTTTCTTTTCTTTCTTTTTTTTAAGGACTTTACTCCAAGCACAAGAAACACCAAAAAAACCAACATCTGGATAAGCTTTAGAAACCAAATTTTAACAGACATAATCTATAACCCCTGTTTCATACTTTCAGGGATGATAATAATAGTTTTCTGAGAAACACTTCTTTCAACTACCTTTGTGAGCACAAACAGGAAAACAAAACAAACAAAAAAGACCTTAATCGCTGCTGTTAATGATATACCTTAAACATAAAAAAGAAAATTATTAAATGTTGAGGTGCAATTTCAACTAGTACCATCAACTTTTGGTCTAATCTTTGTAAATTTCAGATTATCAAACTATATTCCAGAAAATAATTTTTAAAGGGGGGTAGGCATGACAGGGTCAAGTGGTAAGCTGAAAGTGAGGAAGAAAGAACTTATCCAAAGAGATCCCCAAAAAAACCCCTTTTAAATTTTATCTAGGACAATAACTATTACACCTATGGTGGTATGCGAGTGGAAGAAAAATCCCCTAGCTATTGCTTCTCCACTGAACAGAGTAGCTAGCCTCCTTACCACCAAAGAGACCGGGGGTCCTACTTTGGAGGAGCTCTTAGCTGACTCAAAAAACTGCAGCTTTAGGTTCTCCCACAGATGAATTCACTAAGTTATAGATAAAGTTTGATCCTTTATATTTTTTCAATTTTTTGTAGAGACAATGTCTCACTATGGTGCCCCAGCTGGTCTAGAACTCCGGGCCTCAAGCAATTCTCCCACCTTGGCCTCCCAAAGTGCTGGAATTACAAGCATGAGCCACTATGCTCAACCTGGTTGACACTCTTTAAAAAAGCATAGATAATGACAAATAAATGAAACTCGTAACTCTTACGTAAATACTGTTATTGCAAAGTATACTTCCAATGATCCAAATAGAACACATAGCACATCATGGCGTATGTAATCAACATATGTTCACCCACTTTCCTACTGACACACCAGTGTCTTCCTGCTAGATGTTTTGATGAAAACGGGGATGACCTTAGTTAGGAAAAAACTGCTTATATTCAAATTTTATAAAGCATTCATATGATGTACTTTTATTTTTGTTTTAATCAATACTGGTCCTGTCCCTAGTAAAATGATTTTATAACTCACTAAATGAATCACGAGTTAATAAAAACTGCATTGGGGAATTATTTTCTAACCTTAACAGCGATAACACAAACTTTTTTCACAGTAGTTGGGCAAATTTGTTTTTAAATAGATTTTTTTTAGGGCAGTTTTAGGTTCACAGCAAAAAAGTGGAAGAAGGTACAGAGATTTCCCATATACCCCCTTCCCCCACATATGCACAGCCTCCCTGAATTGGCCAATTTTTAAATATCAAAACATGTTCTTTCTGAAAAGAAGTCAAGACATTATCTTAGGAAAAGAAATTTCAATATTCCAATCACAAATGTAAAGAACTACTGTTGGGTGCATTTTCACTAAAACATTAGGAAAGTAAATACTTACCATATAACATCCAACAAGGAAAGCAGCATTTGCTTGTTTTCTCTGATCAGAGCCAGTAAAATGAATAATTTTCTTCCTTAACATTGTAATGGACTGCATAAAAATAGATAGCTGTTAGTATTTTCTTTTTAATTTCAAGTTTTTTAAAATTTTGTTTTGATGAAGACAAATTCCATACTCACACATATAAACATTCACATTGCAAGACCTTTAAAAGATTAACATTGATACTGAAAAATACCATGTACCTTCCCAAAAAAGACATTTTCTGGGATGAGAATAAACATATAATTAAAGGTAGAGGGGAGGAGACATGAATATAGATGCACAGCGGCAACCTTTATGTCACCAGGAGGGTTTCATGGAAGACAATTTTTCCATGGATGGGGGCAGGGGCAGGGAGGTGGGTGGGAGCAGCTGTAAATACAGATGAAGCTCTGCTTGCTCACCACAGCCGCTCATCTCCTGCTGTGAGGCCTGCTGTGAGGCCTGGTTCCTAACAGGCCTCGGACCAGTACCAGTCCAACACCCGGGAGGGGGGGCAGGGGCGGGGACCACAGGCATTAAGCATGGACTACGTCTGAAAGAACACATGAGAAGCTGGAAAGGGTGGTGGGAGAGACCTTTTCTTTCCTTTTCCTACTGTTTGATTTTTGAAAAAATCTGTCACAAAAACCTTTAAATTAAAACAAAAAGGTATACAGCACAGGGCAAAATTAATTCATGCTGTTAAATCAGGATAGTGAGTTAACTGTAACTGAGAGAAGGCACAGGTGGGCTCCCCTGGGGTGCTGCTAATGTTCTGTTCTCGATCTGATGATCAAGACAATTATCTATGTCTTTTCAGCCTGTGAAAATTCATTGAGTTCTACATCCATGATATGCACATGTTTCAGTATGCATGCATGTACTTCAATAAAAAGTTAAAAAAAAAAAAACGATATGAAATTTAAAATAAAAGGAGCACATGATTAGTTAGCACTTCCCCAGCTGTATTTCACTAACCTGAATAGAAAGAGATACAGGTCAGGATAAGGAACAGGATAAGCACATATTTCTTGGCTAGTCTAAGTCAATGCTTTGGTATTTTAATGTTCTAGTGTTTCAATGATAAAGGTGTACGTATTTCCCCTTAATTATTTACATGGAGTATGAAATCCAAATTTATTTAAAAAACAAAACAAAACAAAACCCAGGCTGGCCAGAGTGCAATGCAACAGTGTTTATAACTGATGGATCACAACCAGTTACAAATTTCTTTGTTCCTTCTCCATTCCCACTGCTTCGCTTGACTAAAGACGTAAATAAAAAAAACTCCAAAACCCAACCAGCACAAAGCACAAGACATTTCCCTTTCTAACTCTCCATACACTTTTATCACTATTAATTGAATACAAAATAATGTTTCAATCAGGTTAGATAGTTATTAATAATATGTTATAAGTTATTCTAGTAAATGATTGCAGGGGGTGGGAGGAAGGACTGATACATTCTTGGTCCACCAAAATGCCGTCCTTTTATCCAAGGATAAAAGTCCACAGACAGCTGAGCGCAGGAAAAAAAAAATCTTTCAAAATTAAAGCAAAGGAACAAAAAGGGGGAGGGGGAAATTATTTTTAACTTCCCAGCCCTGTATGAAACAAAAGACTTGCTACTGGCAACTGGAAAACGGGAGGGAGGAAACCTAAATACCCAAGGCCATAAATGTTTATATTACTGTTTAAGAGAGGTCAGAAAGAAGAGTCTCCATCTCTGTATAAATTTGTAGTGAATACTTTTTAATGCTCAAGGGAAAAAATCTGCCTTAGCTATAAATTTTTAATCAAAATAAGATAAATTTTTAATTAATAATAAATTGTATTTCTTCTGTGTAGTCATCTGGTAGGTAATCAATTAAATAAAGTTGTTTTTCAGAAAGCACCTGTTCCAAAAGGCAGTATTTTCTACTTGCGAATTTATAGTGACTAATTTGGAACTGCTAGCAAGCTGTACATAAACATTTCCTATTGTACATGGCCAGTAATTCAAAGTGTTTTAAATAAATGAATGGGGTCTAAGTTCGAACCAACAGAAATACACTTCTGTTAACTCTCAATGACACAGCCTTAAGGATATGCTATTTGCCTTCACTTCTCAAGCCCCTTATATGTAACAAAGGGTCAAAGTGAAGAGTCACAACTAGTAAAATATCATGGAAGTTTCAAGATCGGAGAGAAAGTGAGACGAGTTAATTTTTCTTGTTAGTTTGCTACCTCTCCCTATCAAAATGAAGGCAGGAAAGAACAACGACCAAAGCAAGAGAAGAGCTTCCCTTGTAAGGTTTCAGTTCCATTAGGTCAGACAGTAAGAGGTTCATGTAATTAATCAATTCCTACTTTGGCTTTTCAAGTATTTGAGCATCACCAACTCAAACCAGAACCAGATGATCCAAACTTAAACTCTTCATTCAAACTCTAGGAAACAAATACATTACACTATGACTTAATAAAACAAAAAGCCATGCGTGTGTCCCAAAAACCACTGTAGTGAAAAACATGGCATTTCCTTTTTAAAAACAGAGATACGATTTCCTTATTTTTCTCCCCAAGATCGAGCTAACAATGATTACTTAAGTCAAATCTTAAGTAAAAAGGACTTTACCTTTAATTTCTTATTTATCTTGCAACAATATCTGTAAACCATTGCCAGATTGAGTGGTCCAAAATCTGCGTAGAAGCTTTAAAAATGAAAAATAAAAACGTGTATGTATATTCTAGATGCTATGAATATAAATGCCTTTTTTGGTCTACATGATCAAATTAAGACAGGAAAGTATACACCAAATTGTTATGGACCATACAATTTAAAGGTACTGCTTTACTAGTGGAAGAAATATTCTGGTAAACAAATGCCTATTAAAAAATGCAACAAGTGCTGCAATGCCTAAATCTAATCTCAATTAACATGAAAATGCCTTCTATATTTAAAAAGTTGTTTTTCCACACATATTGTCCACTGGCAAAAACACAATATCTTAGTACACGTTTCTATCTCATTGTAGTGTAAACTATTAAAAGACCAAATCTAAATGTTTAAATTTAGGAAAGTTCTTTCATTTTAATTTTCCCCCCAAAAAATCTATTTTATTACCAAAGATTAAGAAAAGGATCCTGAAATTAGCAATCAATAGATTTATCATTTCCCAAGGCTACCTTCTTTATAAATATGACTTTAGATTCTTCAAAATAAAAGTTACTAACAATCTTTTAAAAAGCAATACTTACTTCTCATATTCAAGTTCATTATCTATGCTGAAATAATGTATATTTGATGCACTCTTTGGTCTGCTGTAGAGAATGGCAAAACAAAGGCGATCTGAAATGGAAAAATTGCAATGTTCCTTCCTTCGGGTTATTAAAACGCGTTTCATATACCATGATGAAACTCTTTTCAGATGAAGCCAAATTTTTATTTTTTCCATGCATGTTTCAGGTGGTAAGGGCAGCAATGGGTAATTACAAAATATTCTGGCTATTTCATGGGTAATAATAAACAAAATTTTTAAAGGAGAAATTGTCTTTAACTGTAAATTTCATTACTGGTAGGTGACTATTCATGTAATGATATAGTATGATTTCTGAAGGAACCTCTCATTAAACTTTATTCCCCCTAGACTAAGAAATTTCAGCAAATGGAAGCATGCATTTGATGGCTAGCCATCAGCATTATATTAAGTTTCTAGATGAATTTTGCTATGTTTTCAAGACATCCCAAAAAGTCATGTCAGTAAGATACTATTTTTTAAGTAAAGAGAAAGAATGCTTTCAAAACTGCTTCAAAATTACTGTTTATTGGGACTGGTCGTTGTAACACTTGCTGTAACATTTGGTTAAAAAAAAAAATTACTGTTTACATCTATAGAACACGACAAAAAAAACCATATGTTAATCCAACTGTTCTTAGGGATCGCTATTTTTTAAAATTTGGGAATCACTACTTCGGTATTTTTACAATTAGACAAACTGCCATTAAAACAGAAGCAATGAGAGGTTTCTGCATGAGGAGTCTGAAATGAGCTTGGGTTGCATAAACGTAGTTAGGCTGCTATGAGGTTTAGCAAAAATGGTAACAAGTAGTAATGCTCTAGAGGCTCCACACTCTCCCCCCAAAAAAGTTGCCTAAAAACCTTTGGTGAAACAAAGTCATCCACAATATCTAATAGTAATTCTAGTAGTGCTAGGAAAATACACTCGAGACGTGGCAAAATCAAGTGTAGCCTTTAAAATATATATTCATTCAGCACAGCTAGTGATAAGAAACAAAGGACGCCACCTGACATCCTTTCCCCAAATGATAATTTAAACTTTTTTGTCTTCAATTCAACTCATGCAACTGCTGCCTTTATTTCCTTGTAAACTCCTCGACTAAAATTTCTCCCAACCACCAATACTCAAACGGGTGGCAAGGCTTCTTTCCAACAACAAACGACCTTTGATCCTCCTGTACACTGTCCAGGGATTTTGCTCCCGTGGGTGGAGAGGCGCAGCTCACCTACCAGGCATGGGTGTAAGTACACAAGGGTCACAACCACACACATGCGCGGAGTCACCTCAAAGCCGGCCTGGGAATTGGAGGCCACCCACGCCCGTGAGGCAGCATCAGCCTTGGCCCCAAAGTTAAAAAGCACCTCTTGGCCAGCGTGATCGGCTGCGAGTGCCTGAGCGGGCACCAGGGATGGGGAAGCCCCGCGCCCTCCCACACTCACCTTTGATCACCTCCACCACCAGAGGGGACCCTGCGCCCTCCCGGCTCATGACTCCAAAGCATCTGGAAGGCGGGGCGGAGGGAAGGACCGAGTGGGTGGGGGACAACCAGCCTCAGAGAGAGGAGGCCCTCGACCACACCCCCGAAGTTTCAAAAACAAAAAGTTTAAAGGGCCGAGCCCAGGCACCGGCCACAGCGACACCCCTTGGCCACCCACCACGGCCACAGACGCAGCCAAGGAATTGCCAACGCAGGCGGGCCAATCCCGGAAGTTCAAAGCTCCCCAGAAAGGACCCCAGGAGAGCGACAAGAGAGCGGAGTAGAGAAAGCGCCCCTCGCCCGTCAGCCCTCTCGGCTCTGGGGACGCCAGGCGGCCGTCTGCGCGCCGGGGCTCTGCCAGCGCCCCGCCAGCGCCCCGCCAGCGCCCAAGAGCTGTGCTCAGAGGCTCGGAGTCGGGACGTGCGTCAGAGAAGCCACCGGGCCTTGCAAAACGAAGCGTCTCAGAAAGCTCCTTAGCGATTAAAAGTCCTCTGCGCAGAAGGGCTCGGTCGGGGCGGCTGACCACAACCGAGGGTGACGCGCAGCGCCGGCCGGGCAGGCGGGGAGCGGGGCAGCCGGCCACCTCCCGGGGCCGCGCGCTCTGGCCGCCCCGCCACCGCCGCCAGGGGGCGCCGCAGCCAGTAGAGTCAGCCTTCTGGGAGCCCGGCCCCAGCGGGACCCGCCCGCCGCGCGCCCTCGCTCTCCTGCAGATGGCCGCGTGCCCGGCACGCTCGCAGTGCTGGCGGCTGACTGAAAAGGGACATCTTCAAACTTGCACCAAGAATTAAAGGTGAGCCTAATACTTGGGCCATGCGTTCCCTTAAAAATATTGGGGTGGTTTTAAAATAAAAATGTTGACACCCACTTAAGCAACCACTTAAAATATTTTCTAAACCTATGTTCATATTTTAATCTCAAGTGAAAAAAATTGAGATGCAGTAGAAATGATCTCCATTATTATAGATGATACGGTGCTGGGATTGTAGGTGGTTTTCATTCCCTCCCGTATTTTTCCAAGTTATCTACAGAAAAGCATTACTTTCTATAATAGACATTTTGGCATCAAAAGCAAACCTGCATACTTCCTAACCTTATTCTAAAATTCCAGATGGTCAAAGACTTTTTTTTAATGTTAAGGGAAAAAAAAATCCCATGAATTCTCAGCTGAGGAAGACTTTTCTAAATAATACAAAATCTAAAAGCCAAAAGAAAATCGACTGGTAAATTGATACACATTTTTAAAATGGTTTTCATGGCAGTAGACACATAAACTAAGTCGAGTGATAAACTGGAAAATATATTTGAAGCCTATCTCAAGAAGATTCCCAACTTCAATTTATGTTATCGCAAAAATAACAAATGCAAGTGCAATTCAAATTATGATGTACTATTTTTCCCTCGGGCTGGCAAAAATCATGAGAGGTGCACAAGGCGCTGTGTGGGGAGGGTGAGAACACTCACTACACTGCCTGTAGGTGGGAGTATAACCTGCAACAGCCCCCGTGAAGGGCAACAAAAGGGCAGTGTGGCAGAAATGTTCAAGATTGAAAGAGAGCCAAGATAAACTGTTAAGTACCACCACTTCTGTGTGTGTATGTAAAGCTTATATCCCACACATTCATGTGGTTGTACATGAAATCTTGCACAGCAAGTCTCTGGAAGGAGACACAAGAAACAGATACAGTGGATGCCTTTATATAGGAGGAAACTCGGTGTCTGGAAATAGGGGGAAGAGTCAGAGAGATTTATGCCTTTTCATAGCTTTTGAATTTTATACAAATTACAAAGCTTTTGAAAAGTAAAGTCACAGGCTAACAATGTTTTCCCAAAGGTGACTCTTCATCAAGATAGGAGGCATACAATGAACACAGTGTGAGGCAACCTGGAAAATATCTAAACAAAGGAACTGGTTAGTAACATCTTTTGGTTTCCACCCATCCCTGGAAATTCCAGTTTCTTTTAAAAACCCCGATTAAAACTAGAAAAGTAGCTAGATGGAAGTGGAAAGAGATTTTTCCCTCCACGCTGCAAGTTCAATTCCCTAGGGGATGTTTTATAGATTATGGGGGGGGGAATACCACTAATTTTTGATATCCAATTATCTCAGCATTATGTCAATATTCTTTTGTTAGAGAAGTGTTGCAGAGATGAGGGTGCTGAGCTGAGACCATTTATTAGAAACCTGGAGCTAGAAACAGGGCTGTTTACAAAATTTTGCTTAAAGGTCCATGGTTAACCATGTATCCCTCCCCTTTGATATTTTCATTGTCAAAAACAGAAAACTTAAGTAATAAATCTTCTTGCTTACATATCTCTGTCACATAACATCAACACTCCTGCTTCTCTGACTAATACAAAGGAAATGAAATCTCATGATTTAAGAATGTTAAAAAAAAATTTTGAATACATCCTTGGGCCTAATTTGTCTGCAAGTCTGGATTTGGCTTCCAGGTTGGCTTCCTCTTCCTTTAACAAATATTTGTTAGATAAATGAAAAACATTTTCCCGCATAACAACTGTAGGTATTTGAAGATAATTAATCATAAAACAGAGAGGGGTATGTTCTAAACCTATTGAGAAACATACGTAGGAGTCAGGTGGGAATCATCATATAGCATGTTCTGGTTTACAGGACAGGTTTAAAGAACTCCGTTTAGACCTAGAGACACGGTGGGCTTTCTACACTTTATATTTCCCCCTAGAGCTGGACAGACTGCCTTCACAGGTCCTGGCAGAGCAAATGCAGAGGTACAAGGCTTTGCTTCAGGGTGGGAAAGTCAACCTTTGGTGAGCTCACCACCAGACAGGCAGAAAGGAGATTTCATACCCTAAGAAACCAGAAAGAACAGGCTCCACTTGGACACTGACTGTTCCTCAGAGATAGACCAATAGACTTCAGGCTGTCATCTGAACTTTGAGGGAAGTAGTGACCAAGGGGAACAGAGGAAGAAATGTTCACAAGTACTGATTTAAAAAGCACCACCAGCAGCATAACCCCCTAAAATTATTGAGAGTTTAGTGCCAGGTATTGTATTCAGCTCATTACAACCTATGAGGTAGACACTACTATCGATATTTTCCAGTAAAGGAAACCTAGGCCTAAAGAGTGACTAACCTGTACAAGGTTACATACAAAGCTTGTTGCGAAGTGGCAGAATTAGGATATGAACACAGGCTATTGATTGAAGTCTGAGGTTTTTATGTCCCAGTCTCAAAGACTTGCCTGAATATAAATCAAGAGTAATTAAAACAATATGATTTTTAGCACAGCAATATGCAATTTTGACAATCTCGATCCAGACATATATGAATATTTATGAGAAAACTGATATTTCATTCAATTCAGTGACAAAGGCCTTATTCAACAAGGGGCAGATGTTTACATGTATGAAAAGAAAATGAGGTTCTAACATCACATACTAAATAAAACAAACAGCAGATGAAATAATTTTTTTTTTTTTTTTTGAGACAGAGTCTCACTCTGTTGTCCAGGGTTGAGTGCCGTGGCGTCAGCCTAGCTCACAGCAACCTCAAACTCCTGGGCTTAAGCAATCCTTCTGCCTCAGCCTCCCAAGTAGCTGGGACTACAGGCATGCGCCACCATGCCCGGCTAATTTTTTTCTATATATTTTTAGTTGTTCAGATAATTTCTTTCTATTTTGTTTTTAGTAGAGACGGGGTCTCGCTCTTGCTCAGGCTGGTCTCGAACTCCTGAGCTCAAACAATCCGCCTGCCTCGGCCTCCCAGAGTGCTAGGATTACAGGCATGAGCCACCGCGCCCAGCCGAAATAATTTTGAAAAAGCTGTCAGATAACCATAAAAATTATAGTGAATAATTTTATAACTTGACCTGGATTATTTTAAAGCATGACACAAAGCAAGTCATAAAGGGAAACTAAGAGACGCTTGGGGGAAAATATATAATAAAAGGTTAATTATCACAACAGATAAAAAGTACCTCCAAAGCAATACAATAACCCCAAAGAAAAAAATCAAAAAAGGCTATGAACAGTTAACTCAGAAAAGAAATACAAATGGCCAATATCATATGAAAAGAAAATCAATCTTGTCATTCAATATAAAAACAAAGTCTGTCAACAAACAGATTTGATTACAGGAGAAAGTCATGATAATCTCATTAAATATAGAAAAGGGAGTCATTAAAATCAACACTCATTTCCAATTATGTCTGTGCACAATGGAGCTAAAAGAGAAGTTCCTTAACCTGATGAAGATTGTCTTCCAAATACTTATAGCAAATACTTATATCATACTTCACATGCCTTAACTTTAGAAGCATCCCTGAAATAAAAAATAAGACAAAAATCACCACTATCGTTACTGCCACTGAACAATGTAATAACTGGAAGTGCTAGCTGATGATGCCAAGATAAGAAAAAAAAAATAAAAGAATTAGGAAGAAACAAAATTGTTCTTATTTACAGACAATGATTGTTACCTAGAAAATACAAGAGAATCTGTAGACGAACTATTAGAATAAACTAATAAAGTTTTGCAAAGTTTCTGTATATAAATGATTAACACAAAACCCAAGAGTTGGCCCAACTTGGTGGCTCATGCCTATAATCCTAGCACTTGGGAGGCCAAAGTGGGAGGATTGCTTGAGGCCAGGAGTTCAAGACCAGTCTGGGTCTCATCTCTACAAAAAGTAAAATAAATAAACAAACAAACAACAAAAAACAACCCAAGAGCTTTTCTATATACCTGTAACATGGTACACCTGTACCAATTATAAAATGTAATAGAAACAAAATGTTCATATCCTTTATGGATAAATGGAGAAATAAAGAAGGTTTATCAATGGGAAAACTCAGTATCATGAAGATGGTAAGTTCCCTCATACTAAATGCAATTCTAATCAAAATCTCAACGGGTCTTTTCATGAAACCTGGCAAGCTAATACTAAAATTAATCTAGAAGACCACAGGCCGAGAAGAACTGAGAACATTTTTAAGGAGAACAGGAAGGGAGCCCTTGCCCTACCAAATATTGAAGTTTACAATAATTTAGGCAGTATTAGCACAGTGTAGTATTGGCACAGATATAATAAACAACAGGTAAAAACAACAGCCCAGAAGGAAAGCCAAATATAAATGGAAACATCACATATGATAGCTGTGGCATTACAAATCAATGGGAAAAGTAAGAATGCTTAATACATTGTTGGAGACAATTGGTTGTCCATATTGTTGAGAGTGGGGAGGGAGGAAGTTCAATCCCTATCTCATACCATATGCCATTACTCTATAAAGAAGAAAAAATCTTAGTGGATAAGAAACCTAGATATGAAAATAAAAGCTTTAAAAGTTTTAGAAGAAAATATGGAAAGGTAATGCATAACAATGGAACAGGGATGGATTTTTTTTTTTACACAAAACAAAAAGACCCAAACTTTAAAGCAAAAGATTGAAAAATCTGATTACATAAAGATTTAATGTTTCTGTTCACATGAGCTCAGAAACAAAATTTTAAAAGATAACTCACAAAATAGAATACAGGTATAATGCATAAAACCAATAAAGGATCAGTGTTTAGAATTTACTAAGACCTATACACCAAAGG